CTTAATGTAAATATTAGAAAATGAAGGGCCAAGATGGATTCAAAGAGAGCCATTGCATTCAATAAACAGAAAATGAAAAATAGGAAAGAAAATTAACAGGATTAGCTCATACAACTTCAAGAGTCACCTAGGTTTGCTTCTGGAGAAGAAGTGAATTGAAGGATTTAATTTTTGAAAAAAGAAGGAAGGTGCCATTCAAATCAACCAGATCTGATTGATGCCTTGATAGCCTTTTCCTGTTACTAAAGTGTTTTACATACTTACGGGTGTTTATTCTGGAAAGCTGATCTTAATGAAGAGTGTGAGTCAATAGTGAAACATGAAATATTATCATGTTCATAAACTGTGCCTCTTCATTTTTTTCTGATGTAGATAATAACATATAAAATATACATTTGCAATTCAGATGGGGGAAATGCAATGCCATGCAGGAAAGACCAGATCTCCAGAGACATAATGAGCAAAAGAGTGGGGTGAAATAATTATATGATACAGTAGAACGACATGGCTTAGAATATTCTTTTTCAGTCTCTAACAAGGCTGTATTGTTTGCAGGAGATGTGTTAATTGTGTTTACAACTGCCTGGGTGTTAATTTAGGTATATTAAACTCAATATTGAGTTAAGAAAAGAAATAGCAGTTTGCACTACACAAATGTTGACAGTGGGAGTAGAATGTTTGCAACTTCAGTAGAAAAGGTATTTTTAGAAAAAAATATTATTTTTGGAAAGCAGCCTTTTTTCTTGTAACTGACTTTTGAACCTCAGAGGAGGGAAAAGAATCTTTTTACCCCATGCTGTTCTTTTTTGGAAACACCTATTTCTACAGTCACATCAATCTAAAAACAACTACTGTACCAGACTTGGCATTATAAAGGTTCAGCTTTCACTCAATGCTGTACTGGTACAGGTTGTCAAGGATTCTGCTACCTTTACGATCCTGACAATCTTTTTAATTTAACTCTTCATATATGGTATTAGTGGCGATCCCTGTGCAGCTTGTTGTGGGTAGCACTTATTATTTGTTTTTAATATTTTGATTCCAGCATTTTGATGCCATGTTACAGATATAAAATTATCATTTATCTTAATGTGTGTGTGTCCCGTCCCCCTCCCCCCCCGTGTGTGTGTGTGTGTGTGTATATGCGTGCACATTGTCATAAATGAATGCAGTGCTCATGAAAGGTGTTGGATGCACAGATCTAGGGACTGAAGTCTTTCATCTGCAAACGCAGCATAGGCAGTGGTGGCACAAGCTTACCCAGACTGCTCTGCCAATGTGCCTCAACCCTGACATTGAGGGACAACAAACAGGAGTGCAAGGATAGATTTAGTCACTGTGCCCATTCATTCCTCAGCTTCTCTGCTGTGTCTGACAACTAGCGTCAGTTGTAATGCTGCTGCTTTCTGGTGATGTGGACTCTTCACTAGAAACTGGCTCTAGACCACTGCCTTATTTCACTTAGGTCACTGAAATGCCATCAGATGGTAATTACTTTAATTCAGTAGCAACCTGAACTGGATTGCAATTGAGACCATGTTGCACACTGGGAATGGGGAGCTCAGAAACTCCCAGGAGCTGTTCAGTAAGATCAGGCCTGTAAAGGTGAAAGGTTCTGTATCCTGGTACTAATTCTGGGATGCTGCGGAGTTTAAAAATCAGCAGTATTTAAACTAAGACAAAATTAATTTAAAATAGTTAAGAATTGGAACATATCTGTATTTACATCAGGGTAAGGGCCATGAGGGAGGAAGAAGTGGCTACTGAGACAGCAGTATACTTTGGAACACCTTGTTATACAGAACATTATAGGTACTTCTGACTTTTGGATCTCCTATTTCCTGTGGTGTGGACTTTATAGGAGAGGTAGTGTAACTTACAATGGAGGCGTGTGTTTGCCCATGTATCAGGAGTTATTTACATGTCAACTCTGCTGCTAGATTTTCATCATGTGTTGGTGATTATAGATTTTTAAAAAATATACAAAAATATTTTAACAAACATTTAAAAATAATTTTGAAATGAATGTCACTTTCTGACAAAGTTAGAAAAATCTACTGATACACTTTCAGGTATGCCAGGGAATCCCTAAAGACAAGTGAGTACTTGGTAGAGTTCTGGTAAGGAACAAGGGCATAAGGCTAGGATCACTATATGAGATATTTAGTTCAGTTTTGTATATCATGTATTGGTCTTGCCCCTCTCTCTGCTCACTTCTCATGGTCTTAGATATTCCAGTGTACCAGGACCCTTCACCCTGTCCTGAACCACTTAGACACTTTACAGGCTAGACTTCTCTATATTGTTCATTGCATGTGTGTTTATTTGAAAATTACAAAGAAAGATAAAATATTTTTACTATGGTTTTTATTCTTACATCTGCCACACCCCCTAACTTTACAATTGTGTGATGATATCAATAATAGTATTTGTCAGAGAAAAACAGCTAACAAAGCAGAGGTTAAGTATCAGAGGGGTAGCCGTGTTAGTCTGGATCTGTAAAAAGCAACAAAGAGACTTGTGGCACCTTATAGACTAACAAATGTATTGGAGCATAAGCTTTCGTGGGTGAATACCCACTTCGTATTCACCCACGAAAGCTTATGCTCCAATACGTCTGTTAGTCTATAAGGTGCCACAGGACTCTTTGTCGCTTAAAGCAGAGAGTGTCATATTCCATCTTAGATTCCTAAATTCTGCTCATATCACGTTTGTATTTTTAATTCCTAATGAACAGCTTATCATTTTACTAATATGAACAATCAGGCCCAAATTTTCAAAAGCCTGTGATCAGATTTTGTCTGGGACCAACAGTAAATACATAGTACTGATACATAAGCACAAATATAGAATTTGCACACATAAAACAACCTCTGCTTTACTGCACAAACTTGGTGTACATGTACATACACCTTCTGGGTGTGGAGTTGTGGCCCATCTAGTGGCACTGAGACCACTTAAAGAGACAGAGTTAATTGAGTAGACTCTACAGCCTTAGCTCATGTGGTAGAGACTCATGTGTTCAGCTCCAGAGATCCCAAGTTTGATCCCGGCGACCAGGGTCTGTCGGCGTTACAAGTAGGGGCTCGTCTGGGATTTCAACTGGGAAAACTCTAAAGCTTGGGACGAGCTTCCTCAGCTAGGGGAAGTATGTAACCCACACACCTTCTGGGTGTGGTGTTGTGTTGTCCCGTCTAGTGGCACCGAGACCACTTAGATAGAGTTAAATGAGTCTGATCTACAGCCTTAACTAACAGCCAGTTGGCTTTTAGCTCATGCAGTAGAGGCTCATGCTTTAAGCTCCAGAGGTCCCATGTTCAATCCCGCCTGCTGGCGACTGGGGTCTGTCAGTGTTACATACAGTTCTGTAAATTTAGATCATGGTGTCCAAAGTCATGTATTCTGTCTAGATGGAAGGGCATCTGGGTCAAATTTCAGTGGTGGTGTTATCAGGCAGCCGGAGCAATGCTCCAGCAGCAGTTGTATTGACACAGTTTGGGACCACAGCTTAAAATGGTCAGGCCATGCCCCTTCCCACCATCTTCCAAGCGCTGGATCCTATGGAACTTTCAGCAAGTGCAAAAACCTTGGTGGGGAATGGGGAGGACTTTTGCCCTCCCACCAGCCTCCCCTAATGGGTACCACTGCCTCTAACCCCAGTGTAGTTGTCAGTAGTAATTCCCCCACACTCCTTTTTTTCTTCATCTCTCTGTCTTCCTCCACATCTTTATCTACTTGTTTCTTATCCTCTCTCTTTTCCTTCACATCATACTATCCATCTGTCTTCACTGCTTTTTAGCTCTCTGTGCTGTGTCCTTTTCTCTTGCTCTTTTCTGTTGTTGCTTTGCATCCCTCTACACTCTTATGCAGTGTGAGTCTGGCAAAGATCACCTCATCCCTGAACACTTGCTGGCGGCGCCACTGCAGGGAAGCACTCGCTAGGCAGGAGTGTAGAGAAATACCTAATTTTAGTTCAAGTGTTGCTTGTGGGGTCAGTGAACAATTAGTTCTCTCTCTCTCTCTCTCTCATGTGCATTTGTAGAAGTTAGAAGAATCTTCCTGATGAAACTGCAGTGAAGTTCAGATGTACAAACATTGCAGATAGAACCAAGGGACAAATTGAGACTATCACAGTGTCAATATTTGATGCTTGTTGCAAATACGACAGTATCAGATTTTATATTTTCATGCCTCTTGTAAATGTTGAAAGCTTTGGTTTATACTTGATGTTTGAGACTCACTGCTAGGACGAATTCCATTTCTAATTATATTTCTTACATTTGACAGTCAATAACTGCACTATGAAATTAAGTCATTTCTGGTCCTGTTAACTTTTCACTATTAGCCACCAAATACTTCATATATCTCTGTGGAACCATATATGTAGTGGCACAACATCTTTGTTGTATAATTTACTATGATCCAGATTGTGGAGCCCTTACTCATGTTGATGAGCATTTACTTATGTGAGTATTTCCACTGACTTCAAGGCAACAGCTCATGTGAGCAGGTGCTCCCCCCCCGCCCCCGAGTATGACTTACAGAATTGGGCCTTAGTGTTGCTCCTAAGCTGTGTGTATGTATTTTTGTAAAAGAATGGTTGGAAGGGACCAATGCTAAAAGTTGAAACAGTCATACTCTAGTGCAGTGGTCGGCAACCTTTCAGAAGTGGTGTGCCGAGTCTTCATTTATTCACTCTAATTTAGGGTTTTGCGTGCCAGTAATACATTTTAATGGTTTTAGAAGGTCTCTTTCAATAAGTCTATAATATATAACTAAACTATTGTTGTATGTAAAGTAAATAAGGTTTTTAAAATGTTTAAGAAGCTTCATTTAAAATTGAATTAAAATGCAGAGCCCCCCGGACTGGTGGCCAGGACCCGGGCAGTGTGAGTGCCACTGAAAATCAGCTCACGTGCCGCCTTTGGCACACGTGCCATAGGTTGCCTACCTCTCTAGTACATATTTGTCTAATGCAGTCAATGTTTATTTTTACACAGGGAATAAATCACAAGATAGTGGGATTGCAGAGATGGAGGAACTTCCAGTCCCACACAACATCAAAATAAGTAACATCACATGTGATTCTTTCAAGATTTCATGGGACATGGATTCTAAATCCAAGGACCGTATTACTCACTATTTTATTGATCTAAACAAGAAAGAGAACAAGAATTCCAACAAATTTAAACACAAGGTAATTTTTTTTTAAATAGCAAACAGTGGAAATGCATGATCTTAGAATAAATAAATGTAAATGTTGTGACAATCCTCCTGACTGCCCTGGAAAGCCACATGCTGAATTCACTAGAAAGCTGGGATTTTTAATAGAGCTGATTAAAAAATTCCCAACAGAATATTTTGGGAAAACTTGTTTAAAAGAAATTGAAAAGAAACATTTTGATCATGTTACAAAATAACATAGAATATTCTATTATATTATAAATTCAAGTTTAAAAGTCAAATCAATAAAAAACATTTCAGTTTTATAGAAATTAAATGTTTTGAGTCAAAATATTTTTTTGAAAATTTCATTTTGCAGGAATATTGAAATTCTTTGTTTTCATTCCAATTGAAACCTAAAACAAATTTTGAAACAGCAGAATTTCCTGCAAAACAGCAGTTCTGGTTCCCCTACAGCTCTTATTTTTTGTTACACAGTTTGTGCATTGTGCACCTCTGTATATCCATGATGTCCTCACAACAGCAATACGTGTCTTCGGGACACAAGACTCGGTAATGGGAATGAACTTCTAGGATGGTTTCCAGCGGTCCTTCTCCACCTCTTAATGCTTGTTCAGAATGTCTTAGCGCACTTGCTCATACATTTCAGCAGCTATGACCCGAATACTTGCTCTCTGTTCTTTCCATTAGTTCTCTATATGGTGGTACATTGAATTTGTTTGCGCTCATGGGGGCTGATCCTTTATGCCTCAAATCAAGCAAAACTTCCATTGACTTCACAGTATTTTAAAGTGCTGTTCGAAATGTAGCAGAATGGACTGAGATGAAGTCAAGGGAGGACAACCTTATCAAAGGCACAATCACCTGCTGGTTTAAAATATGTCAGCAGGATCCATAAAAGATGAGTGGTATTAGAGTACAAATACCCTATGGGACAAGATCAAGTCATTATAGCTTTAATGTTACTGATACTTGTATCAGTTAAGGCTTCTGAACTAATGGGGTAATCAGGAAATGTTTCCACTAACTTATGTTGACCTTTTTACCTTCAAAGGTATTTTTACCGTGACCACAGTTATCTTTATATTTATAACCCCTCTCTCCTCCCTCATTTTCCCTGTCCTACTCCTTTGGTTTTATGAGGATGGTTGGAAGTAACATTTTGTGTGTTGTGTACCTGAAAACCATCATCGTAATTTTAAACAGTGAGTTTTATAACATGATCTAGTCCCAATCCTCAGCTGGTGTAAATTGGCATAGCTTCATAGACTTCAATGCAGCTATGCCAATTTGCACCACTGGATGATATGACCCATTTATGGTTGTGGCAACAAATAAATTAGAACAGGATTTCTTGCTGTTTATCTTGCTTTTGCATTGGTAGCCTTTGAAGTTAAATTCCCATTTTATGTTGAAAGACTAAACATACTTTTCTTCTAATAAAATGCTTCGTCAGGTGGATTCTTGATTCTGGGTATCTCTCTCTTAATTCATATTTTTTTCCCTCTAAGTACAAATTAATATAAATTTGTTGATGTAAAAGCTATGACTGTCCAGAAAGGATCAATAGCAAATTAGTGTACCTGTTACTTCAACATTTAAATCAGTTTATAAATTGTTTTTAGATACAAGTAATGTAATAAGGATAGGCCATCATTTTTTATTTTGTTTTTCTCAGCAATTGCCTAGCTCCTCACTGAGGTAAACTCTTGGTCAAAAGGAAATGGATAACTGCTTTTGTAAAACAGCATAGGGTTGGTGGTGTCAATTAAAATGATGGGTAAATAGGATCTGTTTTGTGTTGCTGCATGTAACTTGAAACATGTTGATACTAATTTGGTTAGTGGACATGTAAAAGCTGGATTTCTTCTGTTCAGATGGATCGAAATAAGTATGGTAGATGGGTTTTAGGGGAGAACTCCAAGGACCATTATTTTAATAGCTTAATAATAGTACATGTCAAAGGACATTGTGTTTCATTTAATCTGTCTTTAGTGCTAAGAACAGTTTTAAGCCACCTGCCATATCTACAAATAAGTTTGTTTCAGAAAAGCGTGGCACAAGCTTAAGTACTCTGCTAAATAGGAATAGGGGATTACTCTGTGTGTTTAATATGTTGACACATACAAAGGCTTCCATATATTATTATTTGTAATAGTTTATACTTATAGCCCCTTTTCATCAGAGTATCTCAAAGCATTTAACCCAGGTGAGTAACTTATTATTCCCATTTTACAGGTGAAGAAGCTCCGGCACAGAGAGGTTGACTGAGCCCTAGTCTACACTTAAAATTTAGACTGACCTAGCTAACATTCACATCCCTGAGTGCCGTAATTAAGGTGACCTAGGCCCTGGTGTAGATGCGGCAAGGTTGACCGAAGAATTCTTCTGTCAGCCTAGCTGTTGCTGTGTTGCTGCAGTTCCCGTAGAGTGGACATACCTTGAGTGACTTGCTCAGAGTAAAGCAGTGAGTAGCAGGGCTAGGAACACAACTCAGTTCTCTTGACTTTATCTGCTCTACCCACTGATCTATCCTGCCTTTCATTGTGAGGCGGAAGATCTTGACTCCCAGAAAGCCATAACAACATATGCAAATAATAGTTTATATTTTGAATGAAGTTTTGTTCTTGTTGTATAGATGGTCATGTAGCCCCTGTGTGACAGTCTACTCACCACAATGGTGCCTCCTGCTGGCCATCACAGGGATTAGCTCTGCCAGCTGGTGCGCCCTCTCCAGGTGGTGCCTCTTCCGTTGTCTCCTCCGCCTGCAGATCCGCCTCAGTCCAAGTACCACAGCATGCTCTTCATGACTCGGCCCCCACAGCCGTGTTGCCATGTGTGTTTTCCCCCTTCTGGGGGTAGGTATCATTCCACCAGTCTAGCCACCTCCCCCCCGGCCCCCTCTTTCCCCCCCCCCCCCCCCCCGCCCCCCGATCACTGCCAGCAGCTACTCTGTCCAAGATGCTGCCCTTGTTGTAGCCTGCTAGGAACACAGTTCTCACTCCGCAAGCTCCCCAAAGCAACTGACATTGCTCTGCCCTGCAGCTCCTTTTGTACTAGGCCCTTATGGGCAGCTCCGTGCAGCCTCCCTCCAATTGGCTGCTTCCTGTGCAGCCTCCCTAGGCTGCTAGGAGGACTGACCTCCCCTCCTCCTTTCTGGGAGGGGCTATGGCAGGCCCAGGAAGCCTCCATTAACCCCTTCCCCTTGGGTGTGGAGTGAACACCCCATCACACCCTATTCCAAAGCCCACTGAAGTTAGTCTTTCCGTTGTCTCCAGTGGGCTTTGGATCAGGCAAATAAAGCACAGACTTTTGTATTCTTATTTTAATGCAGTGGAGAGATCCAAAGGAAGGTCACTAACTCTTCCTACCACAAAGAGATTCCTCATTCGTCACTCTTCAAAGGTCTATATCTAGCTATCCAAATGGGGAATGAAACAAGCAGAACAATTTTTGTACACTGTTGCTGCAGCTGGCTCATTATACTGTAACCAACTATACTTTTAAAAGTGAACAGAAATTGTAATAATAGAAAATGAAATCCTTAAAGAATGAAGTTCCCAGATGATTACCTGGTTCTTTAATGAGGTTCTATAGCTGTGTTGATCTGTCCACACTACAAACCAAAAATGAGCTTGGATGTAGACACCTTGAACAACTATGAGCTGCACCTCTGAAAATCAGGTCATTTATTTAGATGCCTAATGAGTCACCCATACATAAAAACTTGCCCTCAACTTTTTTGTGTCTGTTTCCCTGTTGGTAAAAATGACATGATATTTGTTCTTCAGGAGGGTGTTAAGCTTTAATTTATTAACATTTGCAAATCACACTGACGTCCTAAGATAGTGCATATTGTTATTTATTACTGTAGTATCACCATATTTGTGGAAAATGCAAATGTGTATGTGAGGACGTCTGTAGTTACTAAAATAGACTTAGCAATAACAATGATAATATTTTGTCTTCCATGAGAGAATCTCAATGCACTTTACAAGCCTCACGCCTTATCGCACCTTTTTGAAGTACGGAAATACTGTTATTCCCATTTTACAGATGGGAAAACTGAGGCACAAAAGGTTAAGTGACTTGTCATGGTCACAAGTAAATTTTTGGCAAAGCCAGGAATTGAACCTAGGTCCACTGTCTTCCACTCTTATGTTTACCAATAAAACTGACAAACAAGAAAACCAAGAAGAAATGGAGGAAGAAAGAACAGAAGGCAAAAGCCCTGGTTTTCAGGTGTATTCTAGCCCCCTTTTGCTCTTCTCCGGCATAAAAGGGCTGAAAAGCAGCCAGATCTTTCCAACAAGGGGCGGGAGGGAGAGTGACTTGCACACACTGTGCTGTCACTATTCTGTGCCATCAGACTATTTCTTGGGGACTGTTGCAGCCCCTCATATACTAGAGCTGTCCTATCTTATGCTGATGGCCAAACCAGCCTCTGCTAAACACAGAATCCTGGCGGTACAAAGGTGACATTCAGCCTTCTCTGCACATTCTCAGACTCAGCTGACCATTGGGGGGCCAAAAAAAAAAGAAATAGTGCCAAGTGATGTCTCAAAGTGCAGATTTGTTTCTGAGGTTAAGGTAACTAGCTTGAAGAAATTCCCTGGATTAGAAAAGTGATCACGTTAGTCCTTTTTGTAAAGGTTGTTATTTCCCATAAACATAGTAGAGGTAATTCCCTTTTTTTTCATTTTGTGATTGGAGGTAAATAGGGCCTTTCTGGTACTCTAGAACAGGGGTGGGCAAACTTTTTGGCCTGAAGGCCACATCAGGGTTGCGAAATGGTATGGAGGGACGGGTAGGGAAGGCTGTGCCTCCCCAAAGAGCCTGGCCACTGCCCCCTATCCTCCCACTCCCTGACTGCCCCCCTCAGAACCCCTGACCCATCCAATCCCCCCTGCTCCTTGTCCCCTGACCGCCTCCTCCCAGGACCCCTGCCCCTAACCACCCCCCTGGGAACCCCCCCCCCTTATCCTTCCCTCCCCCCCTGCTCCTTTCGGACTGTGGCCCTGCGAACATGGGCAGAGGACTCAGGAGGAGCAGGGGCAGCTGGAGAGAAGCAGCTGTTTTGCCTTCAAAGCACCGCTTCTCTCCGGCCGGCTGTGTGGCCGCCTGGTGCTCCTCCTGAGTCCTCCGGCCACACTCCCGCCACCCGCACCGCCTGCCTGCTCTCCTGTGGGGGGGTGCACCGCTGCTGAGCTGCCCAAGTGCCTGGCCCTGGGGCCCCCTGTTGTTGGGGGGGCCCCGTGCCAGGGCACCCTGTGTTCTCTTGTAAATCTGCCCCTGAGCCACGCCACTCGGCCGGAGCCGGCCACACCACTGGCAAGGTGAGCTGAGGCTGTGGGGGAAGGGGCACAGCAGGGGAGGGGCCGGGGCCGGCCAGGAGCTTAGGGGCCGGGCAGGACGGCCCCGTGGGCCGTCGTTTGCTCACCTCTGCTCTAGAAGAATTTTCTGGTATACAATAATGTGATGGCTGTGAATATACATTTTAGTGGTATGAAGATGTAGAGCCTTCAGTGGCAAGCCCAAGAAGGCAGAATTAATGGGGGCAATAACCACCTCTGATATGTGCACAGAAACTAGCTCCAAGATTAAGACAATTTTTGTATGTCCCCAGGAAATATGATAAGGAGGCTAAATAATGATTGCATCGCTAGCAGACTGCTGAGTCCATTAGCTTTGCTGAGTGCAGTCTGGCTGGAGTCCTATAACATCTATTTAAGATGTGGTTTTGTGTAAGGTCTAGTGCTGGGGACGTGAATGTCACTTTTAAATCTTTTTCTTTCTCATCCTTGTTTTTCCTGCTTCCCTCTTGCTGTGTTTCACATAGTTAAGGGGAAAATCCCATTAGTGAACATTGTAGTTTTCTCAAAACACATTTCAGTCTGGAAATTCAAAGTTTAAGGCTGCACTTTAAAAAATAAACCCAAATACTAAAGTATGAAAATGCACAAATAAGGTAACCAAACAACCTTAACTCTTCACTGTCCCATCCTGCTCATCTGTTGCTGTATGCTGAGTAGTGACATTATGATGAGGGATGTGTGGAGGACTTTATAACCTATGACTAGGGACATCTTAAGTCTTTATTTGCAGAGTTGGCTCATAGAGTCAAGGACTCTGAAATATGTGACTGGTTTTGTATGTCAATGGCTGTGATTCCTGCACCGCTGGCCTGGATTCTGCATAATGTTTTCCATTTATTAAAGAGGACGGTCACCCTATTTACAGTAGTGACATGCCCATGCTAAATCTCACAGTATGACACTAATTTACCATTGAACCTTCCCCCATTGGAGGGTGGGGGAATCATCCCCCAAACCATAGAAATATCTGGAATGGGAGCTTTCTCAGCCAGCACTTTAAGAGACTGGGCAATTGAGTCTTTGACAAAAAGAGTTTTTCCCTCAACAAGTTGTTAAGAGTCTGAGTAAAATAAGTATTAAGGGGGGGAAATCAAGTGATTTTAAATTTTTTTTTTAAATGGAGATATCCTATCTCCTAGAACTGGAAGGGACCTTGAAAGGTCATCGAGTCCAGCCCCCTGCCTTCACTAGCAGGACCAAGTACTGATTTTGCCCCAGATCCCTAATTGGCCCCCTCAAGGATTGAACTCACAACCCTGGGTTTAGCAGGCCACTGCTCAAACCACTGAGCTATCCCTCCCACCCTTTTCTCTCAGCTAATCAGTTTTCACTTTCTTGTGTCACATTCCTGCTAGTTTATCCATTTCCAAATAGTCCTCCTACACAAACAGGAAAGACAAAACCTGTTATTTCTAATATAAAAACAAACAGAAAAGAAATCTTTTTTCTTAATTAAAAAAAATCGTTTCAGACCATGTTTATGGGTCATGCAGAAGCAAAAGCTTGAGGTTTTTTGTTTTTTAAATTTCTAGTTGGCATTTGTGCTTGGATGAAGCTAGGTTAATTTAAAATGTCCACTGTTCATATGGCAGCAGCCACTTTAAGATGCTGTGGCTCCCATCTGCCACCCATCCCATGTGCAGGGAATTCCTTCCACATTCCATCCCAATTCACCTCCAACTCCCACACCACACCAGTGCAGAGACTCCATCGCCACTGCCTCTTGCTTTGATTCCCTCCTGCCATAACCGCAATGTAACCAGTCCTCAATTGCCTGGATCCCTTTTCACCATTTGACCTTGATACAATGAATCCCTCATCCCCGGTGAAAGCAACCACTCCGCCCATTTCCTTAGGCAGTGGTTCTTTCCCAGCAGTTTCTCAAATGCAGATTCTCTCACCCCAGTCTCTGCTTCCACAATGCCAGTCAGCCTTTGTAGCTTTTAATCAATGAATGCTGACAGTCTCTATTTGCTATTCTGATGAATGGAAAAATTGTGGATACATCACAGCTCTTTTTCATTTGGTGCTCTGGTAATACAAATAATACTAATTCTAAAATTACCTGCCTGTTCCCAAACATGCTGCTATATCTAATACCATTCAGCTTGCTTACACACAAATAGGGAATAGAAGATTACAATTAAGTTAATGGATATTGTCCATTTTATTATTATTGCACAGCTTGTTCCCAAGATCAAGACTGTTACTATCTTCTGCAGGATTTTGAAGGATGCAGAAATCAGCCATGTTTCCTGCATAGTACTGGCAAGGAAACCTTGTATACCATCTACTCCCTTGTGGCGAGATCTAAGCTGCAGTCCTTGATGTTGTGGAGTTCAAGCATTTCAGCATCTTGTGAGCTTTGCTAGCTGCAAAAGAGAGCCTCCATCTTTGTTATCAGCACAATGTAGTTTGAAGCTCTGCCACAGCAAAAATAGGGAAAAATAGACACCAGAAGACTATAGTGATAGACACAAAGCTTACAGCCCAAATTCCGCATAACAGCATGCATTTGCCTTTCCCGTGTGCTATTTTTAAACAGGCTTGTTGTGATGCATTTAACACATGCAGCACTGGTTTTGAAACATTTAAGCATCACTGTCTTTATTTTGTGCTGAGCTGTGTGAAAGGCTGGTCTTCCCTCATGCTGGTGTAAATCAGGCGGTATGCCAGTGAAGTTATATTTAGTTAAAAGCTGTGAGAGGAGGCTTTTTTAAGCTTATGGTTTAACAGCCTTAACGTTTCCTTAGCAGGATAGTGTATCATGATCAAATTATGGTCTTCACCCCCACAGGCTTGCATTTTAAGTACAAATTGATGTCCTTGATCTATAGTGTATATTCTATGCTGCAGGTAATAATATTAGTCTATATTCACATAGACCCAATATTGAAAGAATGCACTTAGCTAAAGGCTAAATCTCACTCCCCTTCCTAGTGTGTGTGTCATCCTATTAACTTCACTGCGGTACTTGAGTGAGAAAAGTTAGCAGAATTTGGGCCTAAGGGGTTTAAAATAAGGTTATTGAACTTCATCCCCCCCAAAATTAATTTATATGACTTTCTGAATTTAGTTTTGCTCAACTAACTGATCATACTTTTTTGTCCCATTAGGATGTACCCACTAAACTGGTTGCAAAAGCTGTTCCTCTCCCTATGACTGTTCGTGGACACTGGTTCTTGAGCCCAAGAACGGAATATACAGTAGCAGTGCAGACGGCATCAAAGCAGGTTGATGGGGATTATGTTGTTTCTGAGTGGAGTGAAATCATAGAGTTTTGTACAGGAGGTAAGATTGCTAGGAAAAGATACAGCACATAGGGAGAGAAAGAAACCAAACATGCTATATGAAAGGGATTAGCTTCTGTCTGTATCAGCTATTGCGACACAGAATAATTGTCAATAGTCAGTACCTGTGACATCTGGAAATGGAAGGGTTTGTTTAGGCGGCTTATTTTCTGTTCAAAATGTATAATTAAACTGTGGCTACTCCTTTGTTGGTGCCTTGTTGGGAGGTGGGAAAGGAGCCAGCACCCCACAGCCCCTAGGCAGTCTGCCTGTGGAAAGCCTCAGAGCATCACCATCCCCATCCCACCCTGTTCTGTGCTCCAGCGAGCATACATTTACTTACACACAGCTTCATTGGGTTGAAATTCACCCCAGTACACAGAGCCTGCCTGTATGAAAGCCCTGTACTCCTCATTAAGAGTTTTAGTGAGTCCTTGTATGTGCTAACGGCACTGGAGTGAGTTTAACCCTGTATTAGTTGGGCTGTATCAGAGCCCTAGTACTTCCTCTGTGGTAGTGTGTTGTGCTACTACGTTATAAGCACATGGGAATTAGGGATCAGTGTCTAATGGAAAATACCATTAGTAGGAGATAATGCTGACAACCCCTTGTGAAACCTACCACATATCACAGTCATGAGCGGTCATGCAGTCTGGTGGATGGGGATTTTGTGCCTGGCTCTTCCACTGACTGTCACTTTGGGGCAGATTTTTGAAGCTCTAATGCCTAAATCCCAAAAATCTGGCCCTTTGCTGCTCTTTGCTTCGCACTCTTTGTTTTGTACAAGGCATCAAAATAAGTTTAGACTGTGATTTAGGAGATGATAATGTTTCTTTCTTACTAGCAGATAGTCTTCTCTTCACAGATTATTCAAAAGTTCATCTAACACAGCTTTTGGAAAAAGGTGAAGTGATTGCAGGACGTATGCTTAAGCTTTCTGTATTTTATCGGAATCAGCACAAAGAATACTTTGATTATATCAGGTAAGAAACAAACACGTGCAATATTGTCCACATTAAGAGAGTAATTCTAGCTAAGTATTAAAACTCTACACAACATAAAAATATATATTAAGACATAATTTTACAACAGTCTGTGCACTACATTTCCAGTTCAAGAAAAGCGACTCATTTATGTAAGTTTGTACAATTCAGCACTGAATCTGAATAGGAAATAAGTTTTTGGAGTAGAAACTGTGTTTTCACAGCACCTGCTGTAATGGAGTTTCAGTCCTGAGTAAGCCTCTAGGCACCATCATAATCTAAAGACTAAGTAATAATGATGATGATTGATGTACTAGAAATTCAGAATGATATTTCTAAAGATAGGGGATGTACAATTTTGTGCATACATTTGCCTGCAAGTACTTGATGTATACATGTGTCTCATGTATCTGCATGTGCACATTGTACTCAAGCATATGCAACCTGAATAGTGTCATTTAAAGCCAGATCCACAGAGAAATATAGGTGTTGAAATGTCTACTGGATCGGGCCTCACAAGCACAATAGCTAGGAATGCCTACTCTCAGGGTTCTGCAGGGGCTTAGGCACCTGATTCCCTAGACTAAGTTGGCTGTTCACATGTTCAGTGGCAGAAACCCAGGTGCCTAGAGATCATTAATGGTGGAAACTCCAGCATGTAGGGATTTTAGGTGCCTCCAGGGTTAGGCGGCAGCTGAGCAGGGAGTTTGAGGATCACAGTGGTGCCTAAGAGTTGGATGTCGATGCCTACAGTGGCAGTCAGGCACCTAAGTCTTTTTGTGGATCTATCCCTTACTGACTTTTGAATGCCTTGTTGTGCATCCTTAGTGGTCTCTTAACGTGGTTTTTTTTATTATTTGCTTATTTTGCGTATTAGTGCTGAAGTTATAATATTCTTTTGCACAGGCAGCAAAGCTAGACAGTTATCCAATCAAAATATAGATGCCATAACCCCCAACGCTAGAGGTTAGAGCTCAGGATATTGATTGAGCATTAAACAGTGTCTTAGGAAAAGACACCATGCAGTGGCAAGAGTAGTATTCTAAGAAAAACTGGTTTAGGGGTACATTGCCATCCGCTAAGCAATGCAGTAGAACCCTGTTTTTGTACTGCCTTTCAGAGTGGTAGAATCTCTGATTACTTGCCTTAAAGAAATTTAAACATGCTTATTTCTTATACTTTAGCATACGTTAAAGATTTTGGGCCTGTTTCAACACTGCGTTACCTCAGTTTTACTCAAATGTAACTCAGTTTGAGTGAAGTAACAGTTGCAGAAAACTGGAGCAGCTAAGTGCTGGATCAGGCCTTTGAGTTCTGTAATAAGAGCACATCATCCTTTTGGAATGCCCAGGTTTACCTGATCCTCATACCTGCTGGGTGGGGTCACATGGGTGAATCTTTCATAGTTCATAGTACGTGCACATTTGAGTTCACAGAGCTTTGAAAGCTCTGAAGGTACACCACACACACACAGATTACACCACACACACACACACACACACACACACACACACACACACCCCGCCGCCCTGCTGAGCCCAGCCACCAGCACCTGGATCCCCTGCAGAGTCCCATTGCCCCTGAACCCCCCAATGAGCCCCTGTGCATCAGATCTCTCACTGAGCTGCCCACACCCAGATTGCCCCACACCTAGATCCCTCCACACTTGGGTCCTGCTAAGCTAAGCCTGCCTACCCACACCTGGTGCACCTGGCACAAAAGGGCAGGCCCAGCCCTTGCACTGTGCCAGGGTCAGGTGCAGCCTCATTGCTGAATCCCTGTATTGGGGGAGGTGGGGGCTTCAGGGTGATCTCCCACTGCCATGCTGGAGCCACATTTATTTATTGACAAATTAAATTTCAGAATTTGGGTGCATAATTTTTTGGTGCATAATTCCCTCAGGAATATAGAATACATGAAGATGTTCAGAAACAGGCAAATTCAGGGTCTTTTACAGTTGGCAAAGAATTTCTGGCTCAGAAGGTATGATGATGTGCTCTAGACTAAGCTGTTGGTGACCACTAAGCCTGGCAACATTTTAAAAAAACAAATCATCCCATCATGTGTAACCCTTCAACTAGCATTTCCTGCCTCAGTGTTGTTTTGCCTTATGATTTAGAAGACCTCTGATGGGCTCCAGGGACTTCTAAGTAGTAAACAGTAGTGCACAAAGTGGTGTAGTTAGGGCTAGAGTGGGAGGGTTCCAATGGGTGTCTCAAGAGATTGTACAGCACACAGCAAGACCTTGGTCTGTTTACTAGGTAAACCTTGATCCTGCGACACCATTACAGTTTTTTTTTAATGTGGCATATAATTAACATACACTTTAATCATGACTGCTTCCTTTAAATAGACAGCATGCAAAGTGTCTCAACTCCTTAGCGAATACTAACCTATAATTAGCCTAATTGGCCACTGGATGTCAGTATCTTGTCACAGAAATACAGCTTCAAGCACATTTTTCAGGTTGCAGAGAAGGTGGCCTTTATCTTTTTTTTTTTTGGAATATGTTTAATTCATAACAACTTAATCTCCTTTTCAGACCCTATCTTCCCAGAGCACTACTTCTGCAAAGATAAAGATGGTGGTCTTGAGAGGGTCAGAAGGCTTCTGAAGTTTACCTCACAGCTATATGAAAAATTTTAGTCAGAAGAAGGTGTATGATTAGAAATGGCAAGAATTTTTAGGTGCTAGCACATAGGTGATAAAGCCATTGTTCCATATGCCACTTAAAACAATCTTTGACAGACAGTATATTTACCAACATCATGGTTAACAATTGTCTTACAAAGTAACTATGTAAGAAACACTAGCATAGCTCCCATTCACTTCAGTAGGAGCAAGGACTAAACCTGCTTTCCATGAGCATATAAAAAATGAAGCAACCTTACATTCTATTGTTATAATTTAGCTGAAAATAAGAATTTCTAGTCAGGGGTTTACCTTGGACTGTCACAAAAATAAAAATCCACCCCACCCCATCCCCAAAACTATTCCAAAGCAGTGAGCAACCGCTAGGGGTCGTCTGTTAGCCTGATGGGTAGTTTAAGCTTTACAAGCAAACAAATTTCACCTGTGCTGGTTACAGATAAATCCGATGCTGGGTTTGCCTGATGTTTAAATTGCTTACAAGAGCACAGCTACCATTGAACTCAAAGGGAGTTTTGTACGTGCAGTATTGGGCAATAGCTGCTAGTTATGCCACTGGCAGGTGGGCTCTAGTCTAAGGTAGTGCACATGCAGATGCATTTGCCTGGCTGAAAACAAAATTTTCTAACAAAGAATGGTTTATTGAAATCAAAATGACTGGGGTAGAGAAGGGAGAAATCTGCTATACAGGGAAATTTACTGTCCTTTATACGCTGCATCGAGGCACTACATCAAGTCAGTCAGCCATTCTGTTTGTCTCTGTACTGAGAGTGTGTGACTGAAAAGCGCTCACGTGATATTTATAGCACATTGGCATTAGAGCTTCTCTTGCTACCATCAACCCAAGAAACAGCTCATGTAGTTCAGCATATAATGCCCCATATTACCAGATGATGGCCTGAACTGAGCATGGCGTTCTTAACACAAGCAGTTTTCGTTGGTGATGAAAAGTGTTTTTAAGACTTGTCAATTTGCATGAAGGAATGATGGTGGTTGAGCACACCAGGTAGGTGGCAAGAGTTCTGTGAAATGTAAAGGAGTACGTGGCCGTGAGACCGGGAATTGTCTTGTCGTTGAGACTTAATAGTCTTCAACCAAGGCAGAAAACAAAAGGAAATCAGTCATAGCTTTGACAAGAGAAGTGACCTAACCCAAGTGGTGATAGTAAAATAAGTTTTATAGATAGGAGGGCGCTGAAGATTCATTGCACTTTGAAAGTATTTAGGCAAACAGAAAGTGAGATATACCTGGACATGTTTTTATATGTATACAAACATACACAGAGTCGGTGCACTTCACTAACAGTTGAACTGCAATGCAAGGGATTGGATTTGTGTATTTAGGTTTAGGATAATTACAGCTGGAAAGAATCAAATTATATCTCATCTTGGGTCCAGTCCTGCTTCCATTCAAGTTGATGGCAGCCAAATTGGGCCATGTATTAGCAATGTGGAGAAACAGCTTCTTTAGAAGAAAATGAAATGGGGTCTTAGAGGGGCCAAAACAGATTAATCCTCCTCAAATTTATTAGACTGAGATTATCATCTTCACCACTTCTAACTTCCAGAGCTGCACAGGCAGGACTCCACAGTGGTTGTATGGGTTAAGCACTCCTGTAATTCAAAATCTGTGAAGACCTATTTAAATAAAACAGAGAGAGAGACTTTTTGTGTTTGAGTCTGCTTAAGTTACTCCCGATCATGTAAGTAGGAGCCAAGTAAGCCGCAGGTTTTGGGGGGCATGTGGGCAATTCCCTGACATAGTGTCACTGAAAAAAAAGGGGGGGGGGGAGAAATTAGCCATCATGTGAATTTGTGTACAGCATCCACTAAAAATGTTAAAAAATATTGCAACATGATTGGGTTCATTTGTAACTTTCAATGTAGACTTAAAATCCCACTAGTGTTACAGTTGCTGAGGAAAAATATGGTGGGTGGGTTTTCTGTTACTGTTTTTGCCTCTTTATCCACACAACTCACCTCCAGAAGCAGAGACAAGATGGAAAAGCAATTCCTTCTCACCCTGAGCCCCGGTCACGTCTTCATTTATTTGTCTTTGCTTTCCTTTGATTGTGGGGTGGTGTTAACCTTATTTTTCAAATGACTGGTTTCTCTTTGTGTCCCTTGTGACACAGTGGTAGTCCTATAAGTAATCAAACTTGTACTCTTCACTGCAAAATAAACAATAATAGTCATTCATTTTTAGAGAGCAACATGGAAATGCAATGCAGCCTTCTGTCAAGGATAACAGTGGTAGCCATGGCTCTCCAATCAGTGGGAAGTTGGAAGGCATCTTCTTTAGCTGCAACACTGAGTTTAACACGGGGAAGCCACCACAAGATTCACCTTATGGAAGATACAGGTTTGAGATTGCAGCCGAAAAACTTTTCAATCCAAATACTAACTTGTACTTTGGGGACTTCTACTGCATGTACACAGCTTATCACTATGTCATTCTTGTTATTGCCCCTGTTGGCTCACCAGGAGATGAATTCTGTAAGCAGCGCCTTCCTCAGCTAAATTCAAAGGATAATAAATTTCTGACCTGCACCGAAGAAGATGGCATCATGGTTTATCACCATGCCCAGGATGTTATTTTAGAAGTAATTTACACTGATCCTGTGGATCTTTCCCTTGGCACAGTTGCAGAAATTACTGGTCATCAGGTAATGAGCTCGTCTACTGCAAATGCAAAAAAAGATCCCAGTTGCAAGACCTGCAACATCAGTGTTGGACGTTAATCCCTACCCCACTTTACTTAGGAGCCTTTGAACCTCTGTTGTCCATTTCCATTGTCAGATGTTCTCTTCAGAAGCATGCACATGCCGCTGTCACCAAAAGCAAACACCAGTTTTTCAAATTCATTAATAGCATTTTTAATATAACTTCCCTCCTTCCTTCTAATAGTTTATAGCATTAGGGGAACAGAAATCTTGAATTTTTTTCTGACAACATTTACACCTAGATGCTGCAATTTTTGTTTGTTTGTTCCTGGCCAAACATAACAAAAACCTATATAAACTGCTTTAGCAAAATAAAAATAATGGCTTATAATGGTGTTTAAATATGCATTTATTTTAATCTACTGAACAAACACTGGGATAACTCCAAACAGCATGAAAGGTTGTAATTGCAGCATGATTTAAATCTTGAAGCCTAGAAATGTCAGCACTTCCAACTTGTTGTTTGACAGTGTTATTTATATTAGCTAACTGGAAACAAAAATTGTGTTTAAACATAATAAATATAATAGAAAAATATTTTATTTGTACTGTTGTATAAAATATTATACAATCATATAGAATATATAGAGTACATTTTAATAGCAATTGTATACATATGTCATGAAACCATTTTCTCTTATCAAAGATGTAGTTTGTAAACCTCAAATAGTTGTGTATCTGTTCCTGTTGCTCTTAGATTACTTTAATTAAAACAGATTTAGAAAGGAGATCACTCTGATCCATAAAAGTTATAAATTGTCAAGTCAATACAGTGAAACAGCAAACCTCATAGAAATAAAAAAAAAAAATCCACATTGTGTAGTGGTCACACTTTTTCCTCCAAACCATTTGAAAATGGGTACTACTTAAAATCATGCTGAAAGATTACATACAATATAAATACAAACGTGGTTGTACAGAATAGACTTCGGAAAATGAACGTTTCCTTAAGATAGCAAAACAGGTGGCTTATATGCAGTTAATACAAAATGTCAATTTAAACAAAAGACTAAACATGATGCAACACATTTCCTTTTTAAGCTCTTCCTTCATGTTTGGGTTAGACATTTTCCCATTATACCTGCCTTTGATTTGTAATGAAAAATAGAAAATGCTGACAATCCTTCTGTGAAATATTGCACTTTACACAGAAATGACGTATCACAAGAGTGAGGAAAATCCCTTTACATTACAAAGTGGGGTGTGCTGAAGGATGCATAATTCCAACAGAAAAATATTTTTGTAGCCTTACTTTTAGGAAACAAGAAGGCCAGAGTTCCTCATCTCACAACCATGACGTTCAATTATATACTGCATACATTTATCTATCCAAAATATCTTGTCAGAATGCAATAAACTATTCTCCTCATTATTTTAATATAGATATCTAACACAGGAAATACTTTAACATTTTACAAAGTGCATGCTTCCAAACAAGCTTTGGTAGTCCGAAAAGCAAAATTTTATAGCATCAGGCAAAATAAAGTGCTATGTTTAATACAGAACTAAAAATCAGCATGTATGATCAATTTATTTTACTGAATTTTGTTTAGGGTACTATAAAAGTACTGCCAACCATATTTAACAGGCCAGCACCTAGTACCTTTACATTGTCTTATACTACCCTTTGGCAAACCTGAAACAAGCATTCCTTCCCTACCCAGTGAGTCCTTGTTGCTTTGCCAAATAGACGTTTTCTCATTTGCAAAAAACATGATTGCATTTGGCAGTTATTTTACCACTTTCTTTTTCTCCAGCAGCCTCAATTTACTCAGCTCCAAGAATGCAGGGCCAAATTTTGTCCATGTATATGCACCTCTCTTTGAAGCCAATGGGAATTGCACCTATGTATCTAAGGGTAGAATTTGGTCTATAGCTTTTTAGTTAACATATGATGTTCTAAGTTGTTTTGCCTACAGTGGATTACACTGCTTTTGAATGAGACAGAGTGGTGGATTTCTGATTATTTTTAGAATCTGGAGGGCATTCCCTAACGGATTATAAATTTTAAGGTAAAGCGGGTTAGACTAAGGGCCTAAACTACTTTACAGTGTCCCTTTAACTTCTAAGATTATCATAGTGCACTTCAAGGCTTTTCCAAAAGGAAAAAATACAGTTCACTCATTCCCGTTTACATACTCTTACACACATTACCATCCTCTCCTACTCTCAGTTAATAAGATTATTAAAGTGCATCAGATTCTCAGTGTGTCTAATAACTGTGCAGAAAGACCCAGACCTGTAAAATTCTTTTTGTTTGTTTGGGTTTTTGCTAGCAATCACTAGCTATGTATTTCATTGACTTCAAATTGTTTTAGAGACGTCGTGCTTACTGATGAGAACCTCTAAGAGCCTGAGTTTGGCTTTTGTGTGCTTATATTCAGAGTACTCTTCAGCCATGGGGATGCGATCTTCCTTTTGCGGACTCCTGAAACAGTCAAACAGAGCTCTGTCATTTTATGACACAGAAGAAAAATAGTTTTTAAAATTATTTCTGCTGTGATTGTTTTTTATATTTGTTTCTAATTGTAGATGCCCGTAGACATATGAAAAGAGCACACTATCGTGAAGTAGGATTATAGGAATGGCAATTAAAACACTGAATTCTGAGGTTTAGATTATACAAGGCAATCACATTTCTTGTCAGCTGTGTAAGTAATAATTACTTCACTCCAAGATATGCAGATATGTTGTTGTACAGTATTATGGAAAATATAACTACCATGGTACCACACTATGGTTTTCTTTTTGAACCATATATAGACCGGCTCCAATACCCAGGGAAATCCATGGAAAAGCTCCCATTGATCCAGAGGGCATTGGACTGAGACCATAGAGTCTGAGACCATACAAGTTCTTTCTGCTGATATTCATCACGATAGGAAATCATCCTGACCTACCTGAGATCACTCAAGGAGTTAAAGTTGTTTTCATTCAGGACATGTCATGAGTTCAGTAGCATTTAAGCAAATTGAGCAATTTAAATATTATACCCTCACACATTGCTCCTCATCAGAGCAATATTGTGATGTGAAAGTGTGAGGGGGCCACATTTTTGAAAAATTAGAATGAAAGCTCACCTTGTTTTAGGTATAATCTGGAATTTACCAATAAACCCCCAACACCCTCCTCCCCAAAAAAAACAAAACAGAAAAAAACTTCATCAATAAGATCTGTATTAAAACCAACAACAAAATGGCTCCTCTCCGCTCACAGGGACTAATCCAAAGCCCACTGATCTCAGTGGAAAGACTATTGATGTCAATGGGCTTTGGATCAGGCCCACACTACCTACACTTCTGGCCACACCTAGCCCATTTAAGAAGACAGAGTTGACTGCCACCAACATACCAGTCATGGTAAAAAGTCTCCAGGAAAGTTCAGCTTTACATTTATAAAAAAAAACACTACCTATTTGTCTGCATATAAATTCTGTAAAATCAGGAGATCCTAATAGTGCATATGTGGCAGACACAGCTGCTGCTGGACTACTCCAGCCCCTGACTAGGAGTTACATTGCTCCTTCTGTCAATAAGCCTAGGGAAGGAAATTTCTGGACTGATCCTCTGGCAGAGTTCCCTGTGGATCTGCAAGGGGTGGCTTTTCCCCCTCACAGGATATGTTATGGGGGCTACCCTAAACCTGGAAGAACTTCAAGGATCTGCACCGATCCTGGAGGAATTGTCTGAGCAAAAAATCATCTCCATAGAGGCCTGATGCCTCCACGTTGCTCCCAGCAGTCCCCTTCTAATCCTGGGCTGTAGCTACCCTTGGGACTCTCAAAGCACAAAAGATAACAGCCCACTCCAGCCCAATTACTACAGGTAAGTCCCTGCTGCTTAAGAATATGTTCTTTAATGGAAACATAAAAATCTGCTTAAAATACATGAAAAAGGTTTTGTTTTACCTTCCTGTTTGTTTAAAGAACTGTTCCTCAAATTCTCTCAGAGCTTTGCGAAGCCTTTTCTTGTCAGCTCTTGTTTCTCTGAGATGTTCAAGTAGCACAGGCCTACAAAGGAGGTAGAGGAAGTTGAAGCCTATGTGGACTTGGAAATAGTTAAAACATTAGGGCTGGATGTGGCCCTTCAATATGCGCACAGTGACAGGTGTGTCTATTCATCTCAGTGCCAAATTAGACCTGTTAAATTCAAGGGATCCTAAAATTTTCTTCCAAGTCTGAGTATAATGGATTTATGATAGCACAAGTGTAAATCTGCAGCATTTCCTTGCTTTTGGTGCCATTCACACTCCTCTAACAAAGGGAATGCAGAGAATCTATGGAAGGAAGCAATAAAACACTCCGACCCTAATCCTATGGGCACCCTTAGTTCTATGTGGAGTTCATGGTGCTTGGCATCTCACAGGGAGCACATGGCACCTTATAGTTTCAGGCCCATAAGTAACAAAGGGGATAAACGATTAGCAGCATAGGACCTGATCCTGCAAACACTTACCATCAAATGCAGTGCTGTTTATTGTGAGTCAGTGGAACTGCACATTGTAGTAAGAACTAGGCTGGGCAGCATTTGCAGGATAAGGTCCTTAGGCAGAAGATAAAACACTTTCAGAATATGTCCTAAAAGATACTGTTTCATAATAATGTGATGCGCTGAGAAATCTCAGCAGCACTTCTGCATGCTGCATCATTTACACAGTGTGAGTTCCACAGAACAACATATATTCTTGTTATCTTCACTCACTTGGTAGGACCTAACAGACTTTATTCATGCCTCTGACTCTCAGGTGTCAATCAAAGCACATGGGAAATACAAGGAATATTATAAGATATGAGATCATATTCATCCATAGCGTGTGTTTTAATCAATGAGCACCAGGGCTGAATGACATCAGCACACATGCATCCCCACAACTGAACAACGTGACCATAATCTGCCCTTTTCATAGAAACACAAAACATAACAAGATTCCAAATCACTGTTTGTATCACTTTTTGGAGTTTGTTGACACCCTTGTTGACAGCAATAATTTTCTTTGACAAAGATATAATAGAATTATGTTAACATAGTGAAAATACATGAACAATTATACCAGGCCAGACTGAATTTACAATAATTCTTATAGTCTACTATTGTACATTTTAGAAATGTGATAATATAATTCAGATTCTTCAGTTGAAAAGGTGTCCTCTTTCACATCAGCGACACTACAGTTGTGAAATATGAAATGTAACCAATAGAACTGCAATATATAAATGAAAAAAAACTAGCCTGGTTGGTCAAGCCACCACTAATATTGAAGTCTCCTTATCCAACGTGTGTTATTCCACAAGAGTCTTAAGAAACTAAGTAGATAAAGGTCTACATTTTCTGACAAAAAATAGGTAAGTCGACAAATCATTTATACTATGTCATCATGTGGTCTCTACCTATTTGCATATCATTATTTCTCTTATATAGGTATATTCCTCTGCCTCTCTCTGGATTTAGGCAGATCACCCTAGAGCTGTCTGACGTACACAAAGTACAGCAAACTACAGGTAAGTTGATCAAATAAATATCCTGACTCTACTTTCTCTCATAAAAAGGAAATAACTTAATCCTTAGGTCTAGAGCTTCCTGACACTTGGGAGATTCTGACAGTAAGTATAGATCATGCTGTGACTAGAACATGTAAGTGGTTTGTTTTGTTTTTTGATGTATTAAGAAAAACTGCAACACTCACATTGTGGCCTCATGTAAATTGGACAGAGATAGGGCTGATTGTTTGATTGCCTTTTTTTCATCCAGAGGTGAAACAATTGCAGGCTCATTCTCCTCATCTGAGCAATAAAGATGGTCATCTACAGGAAGGTTAGATGCCGGACTGGATGATGATTCATGGCTGCTTTGAGAATGGTCTTCATCTGAATCTTCTTCCTCCTGCTTGTAATCATTATCAAATTAGCTGTCTACATGTTATTATTTATTGAAAATACAAGAGGTTACAGGTATTAAAACTAATAGACACACTTTGAGATTTTTCACTATAACCGCTAATGGGACAAATTGCTTTGTAAGACATTACTTGCCATGACTAAATGTGGCAGAATCTGGCCCTTACTTCCATAAGTAGCTCTACTAATTATTTACTGTTGATTACTCATACAACAAAAAGTTTGCAAGAACATGCCTTTAAATAGGATTTAGGGCATGATTCTGAAACCTTTACTCATTAAACTAGTCCCATTGAAATCAATTAAACTCCCCACGTGAGTAAGGTTTGCAATGAGAGAGCCCTTTGTTTAATTCTCCATAAAGTAAACTTGTACCATTTAGTGTTAACAGTCTTCATAAATTAAAGCTACAATATGCATAAAAGAATAATTCTAGAGGTATTTTTAGGGTTACAAATGGTTTTAGCAACCAAAAAAGGACGACCATATTGCAACACATTTTATAGTTATACTACAGTACAAGATGATGAAATTTTCCACCAAAATATGGGCTTTTTTTAAACTGTTATTTATAGATTTTAAAAACTGCATGGACCAAAGTTCATTAGACGTTAACATGAAGGAAGCTTTAAAGAGATTCTGAAGAAATAAGGTTATGGCTGGGATTTTCAAAGGAATCAATGAACCCTATTGAAATTCAATGTGAGTAGGGTGCCTAACTCCCTGAAGCTCATGTGGAAGTCCCATGCTAACATTACCACAAGATGTGGAACAAGGCTATGTAATTACAATAACTCCTCACTTAAAGTCATCCTGTTTCGTTGTTACGTTGCTGATCAATTAGGGAACATGCTCATTTAAAGTTGAGCAATCCTCCCTTATAACGTTGTTTGGTAGCCGCCTACTTTGTCCACTGCTTGCAGGAAGAGCAGCCTGTTGGAGCTAGCTGGTGGAGGGTTAGAACCAGGGTGGATCAGCAGTTCCCCATCAGCTCCCCGCTCCCCTAAGTTCCCTGTGTGGCAGCCGCCCAGCAGGCTTTCAGTTGCCGGCAGTTCAGCTGTCCCTCTCCACATTGCCCTGTGCTGCTCCTGCTCTCTGCCTTGGAGCTGCTCCAGGAGCCTCCTGCCTGCTGTGCGGGGGTGGGGTTAGGAGGGTGCTAATGTCAGGGTGTTCCCCCTCCCCCCTGCTCCTGCCCCCCATCTCCATAGAGCGGGGGGGACACGACAGGGCTCAGGACGGAGGGAGCGTGCTGGCAGCAGCTGCTGTCTCAACTTGCTGATCTACTTAAAAGGGCAGTGTACTTAGAGTGGGGTCAATGCGTGTCTCTCTCTCTCACACAGGGTGTATGTCTCTGTCTCTCTCTGCCATGCTGTCTCCCCTTCCCTCCATTTGTGCTGCCTTGTAGAGTGTGAGGCTACATTAACAACATATTAACCCTTGAGGGCTTAGCCGAGTGCTAGTTCATCATTTAACAGTAAGGCATTCCCTGGGAAATATCCCACCCTCTGACTCCACCTACTCAACAAAGCTTCACAATCATCATTGCTGTGTACAGTATTAAATTGTTTGTTTAAAACTTATACTGTGTTTGTGTGTGTGTGTATATATAGTCTTTTGTCTGGCAAAAAAAAAATTCCCTGGAGTCTAGCCCCCCTCCTCCCCCTAGTTACATTAATTCTTATGAGGTGTAGTGAGGCAGTGTGGCTCCCCGCCGCCCCAGAGGGGTACGAGCCCATCTGGAGGCCAGAGTGGGCGGAGCTAGGGAGCTCTGAGCCCATCCCTCAGAGGGTCAGGCGGCGACCCAGAAGTATAAAGGCTCACCCTCACCTCTCAGTAAGGCCCAGCCACCGGAGAGGCCAGATGACTCCAGCCTAGCCCACGACTGGGAAAACCCCGCGGCTCAAGAGGCCGTCAGGACTGGCCGGGCCTGCCCTGCGCCCGCTACCTGGAGGAGTTGCCGGGCGTGCCCTGCGCCCGCTACCTGGAGGAGTTGCCGAGCCTGCCCTGCGCCCGCTACCCAGAGGACCTCATGGTGCGGGACCCCAGAGGACAACACCCTGACCCAGATACTACCTGAGGGGGAGTCTGGAAGTAGCCCGGGGGCAGCCGACCCTAGTCTGGCTGCAGCACTGCCAGAGCCCATGTCAGTGTGTTGCGGCCAGGATCCCCACTGACTCAGCAGCAGGTCTTCTGCCGCTGCTAGGTCCCCGGGCTGGGACGCAGTGGAGTGGGAGGGCCTGCGTCGCCCCCTGCCACCCAACTCGTGGGTGGCAGTCTCCCCCCTCTACCAGGCCTTTGGAGGCTTGGGCCTACTGCTACTGCTCAGCCCTGCCTGAGGGCCTGAGCCCCTGACTCATTGTTGCCCCGCCCTGACCTAGGGCCTGGGCTTGCTACTAATTGTACTGTTGTTGCCCAGCCCTGCCTAAGGGCCTGAGCCCCTGACTTATTGTTGCCCCGCCCCGACCCAGGGCCTGGGCCTGTTTCTATTGTACTGTGGTTGCTCAGCCCTGCCTGAGGGCCTGAGCACCGGACTCCATGTTGCCCCACCCTGACCCAGGGTCTGGGCTTATGGTGATTGTTCCAGTACCACAAGGGCTGCCGAGGAAGACCCTGCGGCCAGACTAATTCCCCCAAACCTTAACTGTGTGTAGAGAGCCGGTGTGGCTCCCCGCCGCCCCAGAGGGGGGTCGAGCCACGGCAAACCCTTGTACACAGGGAAATTGGATTCACTTAACATCATTTTGCTTAAAGTAGAATTTTTCAGGAACATAACTACAATGTTAAGCGAGGAGTTACTGTAGTATTTTCTTTGATAGTGATGAGACAAGCAATTTACATAGGGTAAGAATCGGCTACTGCAGCTCACATTCAGTGGTACCTCATTCTGCAAGGAGTGCTACTGAAATGGGGAATTCACAAAGTAAAGCACTACCCAGTGTGAGTAAAGACACCAGTTCTACCTCATCAATTTTTGACATGTATTTTATATTTTTTAAAAAACGTTATTTTTAACAATCAGAATCACGTACATGAAAAGGTTTTCTTTCTTTCACACAGGTATAGCATTGATCAAAATGCTATGCTAAGATCTTAATGTGCTAAGTAGTAATGAAAGTATTTTCAACAAACAAAGATCAAGGAGGATATATCAACAGTATAATAGATAGAATTGCTTTCATTTTGTGGTGTAGATTTGTTTGTAATGGTGAAGGTTAAAAACTGAACTCCCTCATCTGATCCCCTCCCCACCCATGTAAACTGATTGATTCAGAAATTGATGTTTTACATCATGACCTCTGGCATGGTTTAGGGTTGAATCATGTAGGATGTTTACTCCTCTTGAAATATCAACTAGATGATTTGATCAATAAGTATTCTATAAGCCCTTCATGTGTAAGAGTGATTAGAATGTCACTAAACTGGCATACAAAGCACAATTCAGAATCTTGTATAGCTTCTTTATGATAAATACTAATTCTTTCCAACTTACAATTGTTGTAATCAAAGATGGTGTTGAGAGAAGTTGCTTGATAATTCTGTATCTGTCATAAAGAGGCTTCATAATACTCCTCTCTTGTTTAGTTACCTAAAAAGAAACCGTAAGAAAGTATATTCTTCTCAAAAACAAGCATTATGGGCCATATTCTGCTCTCATTTATACCAATGTAGCTAAGGAGAATTTGGCCTTACATGTAATATTGCTTTAGGTAATATTTATGGTAATGGTAGCATAATTCATAAAACATTACAATGTACAATTTGAAAACAAAAGTGTAAACCTATATTCTAATGAAAAATATACAAGGTGGAATCTTTGCCTCCTTGCTGCATTAATTTTGGGAAAAGGGTGAACTGGTTACATTTCCCCTTCTGAAGATGCTGATATTGTTAAAGGAGTTAGTTTTCTCTGTTCTCTCTCTAGTTAACCCCTGAGCATCAGATGTGCCTAATTTAGGGATAATGCTTTTTGTTTTTTAGTTTGTGTACTATGAACCCAATCCAACCAAAAATACTTACAGCCTATCAAATTGCATAAGTCATGTAAAGGCTATGGATTCTGGCTGTGCAACAGGCCATCCTACTCTATTAAAAGAAAGAGTTGGCCAGTCACGGTAGCCCGAAGAGGTAAAAACATACCTAATCTATTTAACTGTGTAGGATACCTGCATCTTGGCAGAGGGTTAGACTAGATGACCCTTGTAGTCCCTTCTAACTCTGTGGTTTCATACCTGTCCTAGGGCAACATTATCAGAAAGGAATTACCTGCAAATGAGTTCATCACCTCCCTGTGCTCCACAACACCCTATTCTCAAATCCCTGTCAATCCCCACACTGACCAATTAAGCACTCATGGGAATTGCTGCCGCTCTACTGTGTAGAAATTATCTCCACAACTGCAGGTGAGTATGTGGGGGCAGAGGTGGAAGGATATGGATAGACTGCAGGCATGGGCAATAGCCCAGAAATGGAAAGTTATCGGGATATATGGAGTAAGGAAGAGAGAGCAGAGGAATGCTGCTGAATGCCATCAGCCTGTCTAATCTAATCCAGTTATGGAGTATCTTTAAAGTATCCTTCACTGTAGTCTGTGAGTGCTCCTTCTACCCTATATTGTTGCCCTCTGTAGGGGAAGGTGGGTGCTGTTTTTACTCCCAATCACCACATTCAGTTTCATTGCAGTAGACAGGCCTTCTTGCCCTTGACCGCCAAAATGGAGAAAAATATTTTTAAGGCTACAGCCCCTTTTAGCTTCTCCTCTGGCTGACTTTTCAGATAAGCAGGGAAGAGCCAGCCCTCTCTCTTATTAAGATATCAGCAGACTTTCCCAGCATGCTCACTGGCAACCCCAGTAACATTCCTAAGGCTGCTGTTTTAATAATAATTAGCAACTGGCCAGCTTTTTTTTTTAAGTGTAGTCTTTCACTGCACTCCTGCCTCCACAGTGAAGTTTGTAGACCAGTGACATTTTGTTTATGGCTGATCTTTAGTATTTGATAAAAATATAAAGGTAAAATCTTATTTGGAACAAGCAGAGTTTCTGTATTTTTTCGCTGAATATGTTTTTAATTAGTGTTTTCCGTTTTTAAGCAGTTAGTTAGCCTTCAAAGGTAGGTACTCAGAAGTACATTCCTTACTTTTGATACAACTGTTTGACACATACAAATGCATGTGTTGTGCTGGTCACTATGAGCCAAGTTTTCCGAAAGGGACATTCTACATTTGTGTACAGTTCTATTTCTATATATGCCTAGACAGTTGCCCCTAACGTGCATTCATGGCACAATAGCTACTATGGCTGCATTCCTGCGCACACAATAGCTACTAAGGCTGATTTGCCCTTACAGTCAAGCTAACTGTACATATAGATGTAATCACACAATTGTGTAAGGATCTTGGGCCTGCTCTCTTTGACAACTTGGCTATTACTGTTATGAAGTGTAAGATTTTCAGCAACTGTAGTGTGGTGGGATAACACTGCTTAGAATGTTTTGTTAGCCAATCAGCATGCGGGACTTTCTAATATGATGCTATAATATTTACTAAGTAATGTTCTATTATTGTGCTGTCTTCAAGGTTCTGGTTCTAGCATTACACGGAAATATTCCTCAATCTGTGTTCTGCAGTTTATCAATTCTCATGCAGTTACATGCACATCCTGCAAAAAATCAGCATGGAACATGCAAAGTGAGTTGATATAGCGGTTGCCATTACAAATCTTTAAAATGATACCTTTTGACTAATTAAATTTAAGCAGCATTTGCTGTACTTAGTAAAGGGGATACTGGTTGAAGTTTACCCTATGCACATGATCTACACGCTAATTAAGTCCCAGTTAAGCCTCAACCTGCAGGAGAGGGGATTTCACACACCCACCACCATGAATAGAAGAGTAACATTATTTACTTGAAACAACTATTGTAAATATCCTCATGTTAACTAATACACTGGCCAAACTTCTTCTTAATGGTATTTTTTTACTTTAAAAAGTGAGTGAATATAAAACACTTGGGTATAATTACGGATGGTGTAACCAAATAACTGAAAGGAGAGCTGCATTCCACCCCCTCACATCCATATGATTACTACATAGGGGATATGATAGCTGCTTTTAGAAGTATACTTGTAGAAATAATGGGCCAGATCTTCAAAAGAGCTCAACACCCAGAAAGGACAGCAGGGGCAGCTCAGCAAAGCAAAATATCTGTAAAGAGACCTTGCCAAATATTCTGGTCCAGCAGTTGATTTTTAAAAGTATATAACACAACCCTACAGTACTAGAAATGTTGTTATTATTTATTAAATAGGTGAAAATGTCAATGAAGTCAGATTTTATGGTGGTATTAACACATTTTCCTGCATGGTTAGCAACCCAAACACTGCAGCCTTGTGCCAGAGCCTCTACAAGTTCACCCTTGGTTCTCCAACTTCTAATATAATTAAAGTTATGACTAGCTTGTAAAAAATAAATCATGTATTTTATTAGACAATTTAATATCTAAATGTCAGCACAATGTTATTTTCTTGCTGGAAATAAACACCTGACTTCATAATTGGTTAGGTTGGCATGGCAGGCAAACAATTCTTCTGTATTTGAAAATATTAGTAAAGCAGATTTTAGGTGGGAGACAATACCAGTAAGCAGCACTACACATATTAAATTAGCTGAACTGAATGTAGGGCAACAGTTATCTCATGTCTATGTTTAGCGTAATCTAAACATCTTTTCTGCACCCCATTGTACCATTTCTCAAAGGGTCTTCGGTGCTGCTTTTGTCAGAGATGGCACTTTCTAACAAAATGATCTCCACCAGCTCTTATGTTAGAAAGGCCAATTTAAATTAAATACTTTGGGCCCTCAGTTTTGTGTCCTCAGAACATGTGGGCACACATATTAGTAGTCAGTTCTGATATAGTTAGTAGTTTCTAACCCCTTTTCCTCCCCTTCCCTCTCCACCCTGATTTGGGGGGACAGAAACGGGTAGAGATCTATTAATAACTGCACCTGAAAAAATTTGGCCAGTTATCACACCATCAAGAATAGCAGCTGGGCTGAGACCCTGATGACAATCAAGTGTGTTATTTTCAAAATCATTTCACATAAGTGGAGTGCAGCTTTACTACATACAACTGTAGGATAAGTATAAAATATAAAATTAAAGAATTAATGTTAGCTTAAGTTTGGTTAAGGAAATGTATGACTAAACTAGATGATCACGAAGGTCCCTTCTGGCCTTAAAGCCTTTGAGTCTATATATGTGTTGTAAAGAAAGGCCCTGACTAGCAAATAGAAGGAAAGATTTGAAAATAAAAAGTGGTAAAGCCAGAAGGAATAAAGCAGGGAGGATGTCTGGTTCAAAGAATAACTAATGAGATAAGGGGCAATTTCTAAAAAGAAGGCCTCTGACCACAGTGGTGACTGCAAATGGCTTTAAACCAAATACAGAGAATCTGTCTTAAAATGAGCCAACATCCCCTTCCCCAACCCACACACCAGTGTTAAAGTCTATGTGGACCCAGGTGGAATGGGAAAACTGTAGGTCAGCAAGAAGGAGGGGAAGAAAGGAAGTTGTAAATCTTCTCTGGATTAAGACTGGAAATAAGGGTGAACTGTCTCCAGTTGGTTTTTAGCTGAAGTCAGTAATTGGCAATAACATCCCTTGATTGTTAAAGGGTATAAAAAGTAAACTCTCAAAGTCGTCATTGCTAATGCCTGCCTGACCACGCTGGAGCCAACCAATGTGGGCCTAAGCACCCCTGGGCTTAGCCTGCTTGTAACTATCCTGCTCAAATGCTCATAAATGTTTTGTTACTGTTTGGATGTAGTAAATTGCTTATTATGTAGCCTTTTTAGACATGTTTAGAGCAACTGTATAAAATACCATTTGGTCTCAGGACTTAATAAAGGAATTTATGCTTAAACTGGTGTTTGGTGGTTTCCCATATTAATAATTTCAAATATTAATAATTCCAATAACAAAAAACAGAAAACAATTTTGACAATAGTCAGTTATATTCTTTTAGTCACAATTTTAGGGTTACATAGTCTATTATATTGTAGATAAGCTCAAATGTCAGAATACTTTCAAGATTTTAAAACTGAAAGGACCATAGACTACATTCTGCTCCCAGCCATTACAGCGTAAATCAGAATATCTCCATTAAAGTGAATGGCATAACTTCAAATTCACACTGGTACAGCTGAGATCATATTCTAGCCCCAAGGCTAAACTGTCAAGGCCTGATTCTCCTCTACACTATTGACTTCAGTGCAGTTATTCCTGATATACACTGGTATAAATGGAAGGATAATTAGGCCACGTGATGGTAAGAGGCCAGCACAATTCATGCTTATAATTTTGTGGGGCTTCCTTTCACAGATAAAAGGCCAGAGAGATCTAATCTGCCTCCACTAAAGAGCACCACGTCTGATGCTAGAGTCAAGTTTCTGTCTCACCTCTTTCAGAACAATGTGCTGTGGTAAATGTAGGTACTGTTAAGGTCTCTCTAAAAGGCAAAGAATGCCCAGCTTTGCTTAAGACTTTTCCATCTCATTGTCATACATTATCCTACTAAAAAGGGTTGTCGTTCAAGGAGTCTGTTACCCAGGAGGCTTTATTTATTACTGTATATGACAATATTTTCCTGCCTATCCAACAGTAAGTAGATTTGTGTACAAAACCGCCAAGCACATCCAGCCACAAAACCAAACCATTTTACATGCTTGCCACCGAAATTAACCACCCTTCCATTCCATCTCCTAAAAAACCCAATCCAAACCAAGACAAAAACAAACCCCTCCAACGGGTTACCTGTTCGTATTATGTCCTAAAGCAATCAGTGGGGAGGGTTGCGAGATATCAGAAATTTATTCCAATCTACAGCAAAGAAAACCTCGCTCCCCTATACACTTATCCTTCAAGGTCAAGCATTCCGGTCAACCTCTCAAAACATACAAATTATATAAATGTCTCATTGTTATAATTGAAACATTTTTTACTCTTATAGTAAATGTAAATAGGACTGGAGGTCACAAAACTGTTTGACTGCAAATAAGGGATTGTTAACCTGAAAACACAGTTTTAAAGGTTGCCAAACTGTAGTTTGGGCAGACCAACAAAGCTCAAATTTTCTAGAGCTGAGGATCTACCACTGAGAATTCATTGCCACTCGCTGCCGGGAGTTCAATGTTAGGGATATACAGTAAGAATATCCTAGGCAATTGAAACAGCCAAGAAGGGGCATAGCTGTTTGGGAAAGAGTTGGATCTAAGGCCACTTTATAGAATTGCTTCCAGAAAGCGTGTCTCAAAGCACCATTGTTCTCAGTGCAAATATGGCACATGATAGGCAGAATCTATCAGATGTGTGGATTTGCAGATCACGCACCAGAAAATTTTGGTCAGTCTGTGGCTACTGAATAACCCTATTTGGGGCACAGGATGGACATCATCAGCTTTCTTTAATCCAAAATCCCACAACTGTAATGCAACCATTAGTGATATCCCTTCCTGTGAGCCAACATGTCATTTACTCTGTACAACAGGACTTGGTTTCCTTCTCCTTTGTTATGAGTAGGGCCATAAATACAATCACTTCCTTTGATGCCTTTCTGTGTCGTTAGCACAAAATGCTCCAGTTTTATATCCATCAGTTTTCACCAGTAATGATTCAGCTGTGGTTTTATTTTTGTCTTTTGTGGAAATGGTGTTATTACCCATAACTGGATCTGTTTGAAAAATGCAAATTATTTTGTGTGGGATTTTTTTTTATTTCCTTTTTTTCAAAATTCCCCATAATGTATTTTTCTTCTTATGACAAAAACTGAAAAAAGTTGGGTTTTGAAAAATATTTTCTTTAAAAAAATCATTTTTTGAAAACCAAACTTAAATTTTACTGAAAATTTTGGTTTTCCATCAAAAAGCTCCAACATTTTTTACCAAAATAATATTTTTCTATGATTGTCTATAAATTTCTATACCAAGAAAAAACAGTGTGCTTGTTTCCTGAAGGAGACACTTTCAGCTTTGTACGTCCATTCCTCACTGGTTGTAGCTACCACAATCTTCATGTATCAGGTTTCTACACTCTCTCACTTTTGGTCTTTCTATCATAAAGAATCCATGTTTCCCTGGGTTCTTTGCCTAGCTGGGCTTTGGACTACGTACTTGAAAACCTAGAGATGTTCCAGAAATCTTAGAGCCATCTGCTCCACAAACACACAGGGAGGAAGGGAAAGGACAAGAAATATCCTCTACTTATGCTTCTGTGCAGCATTCAGGTACACTTTTCATGAAGCAATAGACATACTAAAGAGGGTGGAGACAAGGCGGGGCAAACGGGCATATATGGCACCCCCTAAAGAGGGGCAGCATCAAGTGCACTCCCACTGTGCCCTGAAGTAGAGGCCCCACTCGGAACATGTAGCTTTGTGCTTCCTCCAATGGTGGGGCTGTGTCTCTGACAGACAGCAGAGCCCTTAGAGAGCCATTTGATATTTCAACAAATCAGTTATTGCTACTTCTTCAAGTCTCACTTTGGTAGGCTGTTCTTGATCTTGCTCCCACATTAAAAGGGAGATTGTGGGACCTTCCTTCTGACAGCAACAAAGAACTGCTTAAATTAGGTGAACTTGAAATATTTGAAAAAAATAGCTCAACTTGCACAAGCTGCTGTCAAATCAAACATAATGAGAGGGCACCCTAGAAAATGTTACATATACTTCTAATTACTGGCTCTGAAGTGCAGCACTGTGATTGCTAAATTCTCACCTTATTAGGACAGCTCTTCATGCTCAAGGACTGATGGTAGCAGCAGCATTTATGATCAGTGCTGGAGCATGAAATTTGCCTACTAAGGTATGTAAGTCCATTTTCCCCAACAATATTCATTAGTTGACTAACAGGCAGATCTTCCACTGAACAACATGCTTCCAATAAAGTCGTCAGAACAACACCAATTTACTTCAGCTGAGAATCTGGCCCAATAATTTTCAATATTTTTATATATATAATACCAGGTAAGAAGCAGGAACATGTAATTGCCATACCAGTTAAAATAAGCAGCCCATCTAGTCTGGTACTCTGCCTCAGTAAATAACTGTTACCTGATGCTTCAAGGAGGTACAAGAAACTCCATAATGGGCAATTATATAATAACCCCTTTTAGAGGAAGTTTCTTTCAATCCTAGACAGTTAGTGGTTGGATTATGTGCTGAAGTATGAGGTTTTTAGCCTCTTAAGTACAGTATGATTATTTTAAAAGCAATATACAATTGCTAAATATAGAAAAAACTGTCTAGCAAAAATCTCATCAGCACAATCGTAAGGCATATATTTTAGTAGTTATCCTAAAAACTCATTATATGGTGGCTACTATTAAAAAGGCAACTTTTGCCAAGCATTATTAAACCACAGGAACTATGACGATGTAGTTCTGAGACTACTGCTCGTCTCAGAATAGGATAATGAGTGCCACATTTCAGATTCCTTTCTGTGGTAACTAGGTCAATAATAACTTCCTAACGAAGACCACTGCGTATCTAGGAAGTATCGTTAGATGGTAACACCTGATATCTGGAAAGAAAATGAAAAGATACGATAATATAGCCTCACAAAATGTCAACTGCCCATCATTTTAGGCATATTTATCTCCAACACACATAAATTTGCCATTCTCACGATTACTGTTGTAAGGTAGTTACATCAGAAATGCCAAATCATGAAACTTAACGTTTAATCGATGTTAGTTATATCAGAGACATCAATCCCACATCCTGTTAAGATTCCTGCACCATTAACCTTGGTTAAACAAAGTGTTTAGGCGTGCGCTTAACTTTAAGCATGCAAGTAATTTCACTGACTTCATGTTCCATGGAACTTTAAAGTTAACCACGTGCTTGAGTGCTTTGCTGTATCTTGGCCAATTTTGGCAGGTTTCTCGGCATAGGGATAGGCTTAACATCTTCAATAAATAAAGGAAAATGTAGGTGATAACTCATAACATTGTCACATTCTGTATTGTGGCCTGACTTGTAAAACTTTTCTCCTATGCTGTTAAATGCTCTAATAATGTATAAATTTCAAAACCAAATTACATGTCAGATCACACACTACTTCAACCACAACATACCTAAGTCAAGGTGCAAATTGTGGAAGATCAGAACAGGGTCCTGAGCATTCTTACCATTATCTTTGCAATATTTTGCTATTGAAGACCAATACAATGTCACCAAACACTGGCTTTGTTATTTTACTTCTAAAAAAGACTTGGTCACAGTTTAGCATTTTCAAGCAATGGACATTTACATCTGAAGACTGCTTTGAACCAACTACAATAATGTTGAATGTGTAAGAGTGATCTAAATATATTTAATGTATTATATTTAAAAGTATTTGTTAAAGAAATTCTATGCAATATAATTTGAAATTTACCTATCTTTCCATGGCATACTTACAGGTCGTCCATGAATATTCTCAAAATATAGCAGACATTTCTGAAGACTGATTTTTTCCAAAGCCATTTGCTTTTTTGTCATATCCTATTTAAAAGAGTTATTTATAAGATTATGAGTCAAGATTTCATCTCAAGGATCTAGGAAGATATGTTTTAAAATGTACTTTTCCCAAACACTGATATAAAAGATCCTGTTCCTGCCCTCACTGAAGTCAATCAGAGCTTTGCACTGAAATCAGTGGGAGTAGGCCCCGAGTTTATGTGGATCATACGTATGTATTAATCTCTTGGGGGCTGATCCAAAGCCCACTGAAGTCAATGAACAGACTGACTGAAATGAGCTTTGGATCAGGCATTTAGACTAGAAATAATATATTATACTCACTTTGCATTAGGGAAGTGAAGTCTTATTTAGGGAAAATCCCCATGGATGTCAATGAGAAGTTAAAGAATGCAAGAGCAGACCCCAGAAAATATATTTAATGATCGGTTTCTTTGATAAGTATATAACTTTATAAAACTTTGAACCTTTGATTTAACTCATTTTCTTTCAAGATATCCAGTTTCTATATGAGATTAAGTAACTTGCAACCTCCAGAAAGTATATTGGGACAATTATGTCCTTACCAGTAAGTAAACTTTTCTGAAGGCCCTGATTCAGCAAAGCAGTTACACTCATGCTTAAGTGCTTTGCTGGATCAGAGCCTAAATATGGGAAATTGTGCAGTAATTGCTTGATATGGGCGGGGAAGAGGTACAAAACTAGCAAAGACGTTGCTTGAATCTCAGATATTAAATCTGTGTTGTAGATGCTTGAGGCACAAGTTCATACATTTTTTTTTATTTTGCTTTAAGCACTAACCTAATCAAAACAGGAAAGCAATACCCAAGAGGCAGTATGTGGGTTATTGAGAACCCAGAGATAGTAGTACAAGATTTTCCCAGACCCTTTTAAAATGCTATGTAGGTAGGTATTATGTATAGATGCACACTCCTGGAGACTAAAGAGCCAGAGTAAAGTTGTCCTTATCAGACTAATATCTTGAAGGTCAGAACAACTGACATTAAGGGACAAGTGGTACACTTGACCATTTGGGGAAGGAACTTGCTAAAAGAATGTCTGTGCATTATTACCTTATATTTAAATTTTTGTGTAGTCTAGATCAGTCCATATTAGCTTTAAACAAGACCCAATGATTGAAAAGAGGGGGTGGGGGGAACCGACAATATTCCAGATACAATAGTTAAGCTTACAAGAATCCAGTGGTTCAAATGAAGATTTCCCTCAATTTTCTAACCATCATCAAAAGAGAGAACAGATCTGCCATGTTCATTAAGGGAATGTTAAGACAACTTTAGAACCAGAACGTATTCAGTGGAATGATAGATGGATCCACACTAAATAACTTGTATATCCAACCATTGTGATGCCAAAGTTGGCACAACATGAATTGTTGAACAAACATATTAAGAGCTGGCAATATCTGTAGGAGGGAGTTAAAATGGAGGAAAAATAATTACTGAATCAGCCCGCAGGCGACCATGCCTGGATAATATGAGTTTGTAGCATCGTACAACACTTTTCCAACAATTGCAGTGGATCTGGGGCTCTCATGGCTACGGTGTCTGTGGTCTATCGATTATATTGAACACCCAAAACTATTCATTTTCCAAACTTGGGAATTCTACTAAACAGAGCCTCACTAGAGAGACTGTTCAATACTGCCAAAGAGATCTCTGTAGATCACTGATACCAGTGTCATTCCCAAGAGCGCAGGGAAGCTGATTTTTTTCAAATAAAATTTGCAAATGCTAATCTACAAATATTAATATTTGTGTCTATATGCTGCAGAGTGAAGGTCCAATCCTGCACTCCTTACTCAGGGCAAATCCCAACTGAGTCCCATAGAGAGTTTTGTCTGAGTACAGGCAGCATGATTGGGCCTAAAATGTGCAATCCAACACAAAAACAATTTTCTTTGCATTTTCTGCTGTAATTTTGTAAAGCAATTATATAAGGCTAGAACCTCAGCTAATGTTAATTAACATAGATCCACTGAAGTCAGTGGAGCTATACCCAATATACACCAGTTGGGGATCTGGCCCATAGACTAGGGTTACCATCCGTCCGGGTTTCCCCGGACATGTCCGGCTTTTTCAGCTTTAAATGGCCGTCCAGGGGGGATTTCTAATAAAGTAGAAATGTCCGGGATTTCCCCCTTCCCCTCATGCAGAGTGCGGCGCGGCTGATTGGATGCCTGGCCTGATTGAAAGCCACTCGCAGCCATTGGGGCCTCTAGCAGCCAGAGTCCCCTCCCCCTCCTCCGCTCCCTCCTCCCCCGCAGAGCAGCGCCACAGTGTTTGGCTGTACATGGAGCTCGCAGCTCTCCCTCGGCCTGGTGGCGGGGGCAGGCAAGGGACAGGGAACGGGGGGGTTAGATTGGTCGGGGGTTCTGGGGGGGCTGTCAGGAGAAGGGGGAGTAGAGAGCGGTTGGGGCAGGCAAGGGACAGGGAGCAGGGGGATTAGATTGGCTGGGGTTCTGGGGGGGCTGTCGGGAGAAGGGGGGGTAGAGAGTGGTTGGGGCAGTCAGGGGACAGGGAGCAGGGAGACTTAGATAGGGGGTGGGGTCCTGGGGGCAGTTAGGGTGGGGGGGGTCTCAGGAGAGGGCAGTCAGGGGACAGGTAGGGGGTAGGGGGATTCTGAGGGGGCTGGGGCGGGGCTAGGATGGCACCCCGTGTCCTCTTTTTTGATTGTTGAAATATGGTAATCCTACCATAGACTTTAGTAATTATCCAGATTCTAATTCCCTGTGAATGACACTCACTATAAATGGTTATGAAAATTACTTTGGAGTTCCCACAAGAGCTGTGCACAGAGGGCCACCGCACAAAAGAGGATGGTCAGTCTCCTCAGCAATATTGTCCCCCACACCCATTTGGAAGCGCCCTCTGTGGCTCCAGGGATCTGTGGGTGGCATGTGGAGAACAAGGAAGAAGTAGGGAATCCACAGAAATGTTAATTCAATATGAGTCACCCATCCCCCGTCCAGCCCATGAAACCTCTCTCAACGGGCTGTTCTAGGGGGAGTCCAGAGCAGGGCCTAGCCACAGTCTCTCAAAGTGCTGTTCTGTAGCACGAAGTGGGGCCACAGAAGGGAGCAGCATGCAGAGCTGGTGCAGTTTGCCACGGCTTCTGGCAGATCCCCAAGATCTATGGGAGTTGAGGCCAAACCTCCTACATTTTCCACATTGGGGAGGGGAGAATTCACCCACTACATGGGAGGAACTTTGTGATGGGAACCTTTCCTCTCCTCCCCACGACTGCACATGTGCTATATTTCTGCTGAAGAGGGTGACTCCCCACTCAGTAAAGTATATACTGAAAACACAGAGTTGTATTTTGTGTGAAGCTTTTTAAAAGCATAGTGAAACGTGGAATTTAGACCTGTATCATCAACCACTAAAGGAGCCATCCTGGTCCTGCTGAAGTCCAGGAGAGTTTAGTCCATAATTTCAATGGGAGCAGATTTTGATTTATTTACAGACGATTCCAAGTTATCTCAGTTGGCCACCCAGACACTAAGGCACCCAAAAATCATTTGTCACTTTAGAAAACCTTGGTCTTAAAACTGCACAATTTGATCACTTAATAAAATTCCTATTCATTTTTTTTTTCTAGAATAGCCACTATTTGACATTCAGGAACCTAATGAAAGTGCGAGCTGCCCCATCACTAGTTTAACATGTAACACAAGTTAATTCTTCCAACAACTATTATGTCTGTCCGTCAATGAGTGTGCCTGTGACACTGGATGATTAATAGTAAAGAGGGTGTGGTCAATAATATTGAGTCCTGCACGCGGGGACCAATATCAAGAGGGATACTGCACAGATCACCATGTGGACCTATATTATTCACTATTTTCATTAGCAATCTAGAAGAAGGTTTAAATTCAACCAGGATCAAATTTGCTGACAATTTTTAAAATCAGAGGGGGAGCAAATGAGAAGAAAAAGCCCAAACTGCAATGTCTTAGAACAGTAGGCTGCATGCAACAGCATGAGATTCAGTGCTGATAAAACAAATGCATAGTTGTGCAGCTAGAGAGAAGAATAAATAAAAAGTACAGCTACGAGCAGGGGACAGATAAAAGTTTGAGAAAATAAAAAACATGGCCAACATTGTTCAGTATACTTAGGGAGCTTACATATGAAACTAGGGAAGAAGATTGCTCTCCGTAATCCTGAGGCAATGCATTTGAAACTTTACATGCAGTTCGCCTCACCACAATTCAAGTTCTGATGCCCCTATTTTTGCACAATTTTTGTTGTTGTTATGTTGCCTCTGGCACGCCTCTGCATAGCAAAATGAGAGACAGTGCAAAGCTGGGCAACAAGTAGGAGGCAATGATTGGAATTCAAACAGAATGAAGAGAAACTAAGGATCCGGTTCCTGTGAGATGCTGACTTCACTGGAAGTTGAGGAGACTCAGAATTGTACAGGAAAAGGCTCTAAAAGAGTAACCTTTACACAACCCAGAAAAGTAAAGGTGAGAGAGGGTCGCCATCTCTGAAAAACTTTAAACTAAGCATATACATGAAGGCAGAAATTTAATGTAGAGTCTCAGAAGAGAAGGAACAATGGTCCAAGTCTAAGGAGGGGAAAGTTAAGGCTTTTGTCAGGGAAAGTTTCTTAAGAGCAACAGAAATTGAGAAGTGGCATAAACTAAAGAGCTCTAGATATTCCAGAGCAGGTTTGACTTAGAATAGTCCTATAAAATGCAGGGTGGGGCCATGATTTGATTATAGTGTTTTGCCCATCGTATTTTCCACTATTCTCCTTTGCCGTTCTGGTCATATAGCAAACTAGCCTTGCATCTAGTAGTCGGCCAGATTGCTCAGTTATTCCCATTTTATAATTACTAGTAATACAATATCACTAAAATCAAATTGATTAAAACATTAAGGGCCAGATTCTGATATATTTGCTCAAGTTGGGCAGTACCTTATTTCTGGAGTAGTCTATTGGTTTCAGTGGGACTCATTTGGTTTCAATTGGGCCATTTGTGGAGTAAAATACTATTC